ATGGACGAACCTACCCGCACTGATAAAACTCCCAGCAATCTGAATCATCAGAAGCGACGCCCATGAAACTAATTGGAAGGATGACACATCAAGACAGCCGGATCCAGACCTCAAACACACACACACACACACCACACACACACACACACACACACACTGACTGATCCAATGTCATCCACAAGTCAGTCCCGACCCCTTTGAATCTAATCGCACATCCTCTCTCAAAGGCAGCATCAACACCGGACAGACATCCAAAAAATCGGTCGTGCCTGCTTCTCCGCCATGGCGGTGTTCGAGCCAGGGCCATGTAGGTACAGAACCTGAGGTTGCTGCGGGGGTTTACTTGCCCCGATAGCTTCAGCCTCAACTCGGATTGCTTCAGGGCAATAAACCCCACGGAATGGGACCTCCCAGGCTCTGTCGAAAGCCTGCATGGTGAGCCAGTTTACCCGCTTTGCCGGGGTCCTGAAATTGCAGCAATCTCGAAGCATGCGAAGAATCCAACCCCAGAAGGAATCCCTTTGCATAGCATCGAAACTTGAAAGCCAAATTCAAAGCCTTCCTGCCGAGCTCTGCAAACCCTCACCTCAAACCTCACAAATTCCTGTCAGGGCTTCTATAAGGGCTCCTTTATGAGCTGCTTTAAGAGCTCCTTCAAGGGTTGCTGTAAAGGCAGCTTCGTTAATACAGGTGACCTTCTGCAGGCGCTTGGTTCCACCACCAAAGCCTTTGCCTTTCGGCCTGTCCACGGAATCAAACCCTAACGGTCCATGTACTCATATGGGTGGTTGTCAAAATTGAGGTCCCTTTTTGGGTACCCTAAAATTATAGGTGCCGTATTATAATAGGGACCCAAAAAGGGACCATAGTTTTGACAACTACCGATATAGCAAATACAACGGCCTTAAAGTAGACCCTATATAGATACACTGGGCCCAAAGTATATGCTATATGGGTACATGGGCTTTCAGGGAAAGCCTTTTGCAACTGGCCTGCAACGTCACGCCAGGACAGCTGACTCGAAGCCTAAACCCCTGAACCCTCATAGAAACTGTAGGGCTGTGCGGCTTAGGGTTTAGGGTTTGGCAGACGTGAAAACTCTTCCAAGGGTTTCTCGAAAATGCTTCGTGCAGAGTTACAGGCATGGTGGTTTTGGGATCCCTTGTCGTAGCGACCTCCCCTGCCATGTAACCGAAATTGCGCTGTTTTTGGTTAAACTTGTTCTGGCATGCTCAAACAATCCCATGCATGCTACGCGCCGCAGGTACGCACGTCACGGGGTGTGGATGATGATAGCTGCATCCACTGCTGCATCCTCTGCGGCACCGCAAAAGACGAGTTAACCATGCTTCTAGGTTACCAACGACGCGGCCTGGCCTCGGATGTCGGCAGGCACCAGGTATGACATCCTCCGGCCAATGCAACATCTAATATGCTGCAGGAGCCTTAATAACTAGATTGGGGTATTTCAATGGTATATTGCAGTATAGTTACCATAACCAACCCGAAGGAATAGTGTTGGTAGTTATATCAGCCCGCATTTTACCTCGCACTTCGACTGGCTGACTGACTGTATCCCTATCCAGCCCTCCTTTCCCTTGCACGAAAAATCGGGAACCTCTACTTGACCGTATCGTCTTGAAGCCTTCCTGCCTTCCGATGTCAACAAACACAAGGACCCGACACACAAGGCACCGCAACTCTACAGAACGAGGCCTCTCGGGTTCGGCAAGGGATAATACGACGCTTCGAGAAACTCGCACAAGCTCCGACCAAGATCCGATGCACTTAAGGCTGCTTATGAAACTGCCGGTGCACCCTTTTCGCATGCGCTTAAAGGATCCATACGGACGTGCGGCAGCTTACTGAAATAGGATGTCCGGGTGTATAATGAGGTTCGGGGGTATCTTTTACGCTTTGAAAACGGCCGGTGATTAACATACATATCTATTTATAAAGATAGCTGCTGCTAACTATTGCTAGGACTAAGTGTATAAAGGTTGTTATTGTAATTCTGACTGCACAAGCAGTAGAATCTAGAACGCGATCCCATTATACTGTAATCCTAAGAAGGAACCCCCATAATATGTAATATAGGTAATTATTAAGGCCCCATGTAATTCTCATAGAACCCTTTACGTAACCCTTTAGAGGAACCCCCCCCCAAAGTAGTATAGGTAGTTATTATACAGGCCCCTATACTCGAAGTTGGGGAGGGCTCCGGCAGCCGCTGTTGCGCCAGCGTCGCCCGCAGCTCCGTGGGACTCGGACCCAGGGAGGCCTCGTTAAAGGCATCGGGGCTTGTAGGGCTTTCGACGCTCACACTCGCACAAGGCACTTGTAGTGCTTAGGGTTTAAGGCTTTGGCTTAGGGTTTAAGGTTTTGGGCTTAGGGTTTTGGATTTAGGAATGCTCATCAGAGTGTTTGGGGCATTATAGGCTTCGCCTCCGACTTCGCAATGTACGGTTTAGGGTTTATGGATGATTGTGTGTTTCGACGTGGCTAGGGTTTGGAGGTTTGGGGCTTACAGGGTTTATAGGGTAGCTTACTTGGTGCCTCTCCGGGACTGAACATCGGGCTATTCAGCGAGGAGGGGCCGAGAGACCTTCGGAGAACTTGCTACAAACCAGAAAAAGGCAAGAGTGAAGCTCCACGGTTAGGCTTTAGAATTTACTGCTCAAGGGTTTAGATTTTAGGAGTTGAAGGGTTTCGAGTTTAGGGGTAATGCTGATCGTTGGATATTTACGCCCATGCTTGGATGGAAGCTGAGATGCATCTTTCTTGCAGTGTGTGTAAAATAACTGATTGCCCAAAACCTAAAACGGCTATTATCCTACATACTTTTGGGGTCCAAGTAAAAGCAAATATGCAAAGACAAGAACGTAAACGCTCAAAGTCCGAGCCATGTCAGGCTGGAGCAAGACCCCAAGCACACTTCTGGAAACCTAACCCTAAGGGTCCAAAGGACCCAATAATTGGGTACTCGGTTGTAGGATAAAAGTTATGTAGGGTAGGGGATTTGGAGAGTATATGATTATTGGGTACTTGGACCCTGAGGGTAACACTGCCTTGAATGAACAGAAGATGACCATGAACACCCAGCCCCGACATCATGCTTTGCTCTACCTAGAGGCTCCATAGTCGCTCCTTTTGGGGGCTCATGTTTAGAATCCTGTAAGGTAAAAGCCAGAAAGTTGGAATATGATTATCCTAACCCTTCTATGGTAAGTCATAGGGTATCCTACCATGAAACCATATTCCAACTTTCTGGAGTTCCCTGTAAAAGAAGGAACTACTATGCCCCGACCCCGCGAGAGCAAAGGACCTCGGCATCTTCCAAGTCATCGAAATCCATGGCAAACCACAGCAGCCGAATGTACTTAGCTCTGGTTAGTAGGGAATGGGAGGATGGGGTACAATTATAACTACTATTACTACCATTCTTGCATTCCCTAGTAACCGAAGGTATGTGTAGTGGATGCTTATATAAGGGCTCCTTTTACTGTTCTTTTTTTATCGGGGCCCTGAGTCTTTCTGGTAGGAGTGTGTGATTTCAAGGCCCGGGAGTTAGCTCAAGCTCAGCCCGCAGAACTCTGATAATGTGGGAGTTTCCGAAAATTAGGGGTACCTTACTTTGGGGTCCTCATAATAAGGATCCTATTATATGGGGTACTTAATTAGGGTCCCCTATTGTCGGAAACTCCCATGCCACGTTCTTCTTCAACACAGGCGAGCACGACTCCCCACGTCTTAATTATGGTTTTCTACAGCCTGCTCTCACGCATGAAAATGCCGCAAGCTCCAAAAAAGAAGACACTTGTATACGCTTGTCGTACGGAATTGTCAGAAATCAGTGGCGGATTCAACGGCTTTATTCACCCCTCAAAATGAGCCCAAGCTTACATGTCGGTTATGTTTATGCGCGATAGGAAGGATGTTTAAGTCATGCACCATAAATGGCATAAGCAGGCTGCGATCGTTATGTAATGCTATATACATCGTTATTACTATCACTCCTGCTTCTGCTGCTCCCACAACGGCCGCCATTTCACGAAGCTTGATACTCTGAGAATCATCAGTACGGTTCAAGCGGATGGTCACTCTACCGAACGGATGAGCAGCGAAGCACGTCATGGTCCTTGCCTGTCGTATAATGAAATAGATAAAATGGCCAAGGCTTGGCGAGTGAGCGGAGATTGCATGCGGGACAATGGTCGAATGAGACTCTTTTTGCTTCCTTTAAAGACTTTGGGTTCAAGGTTGGATTGAACGGTGGTACAGGCAATGCGGAATGATGATTTCTACTCCCATGACACGTACGCAGCCGGTGACATATATAGTGACGAGGGGGGCGGCGTGGCGATGACTGTGATTCTGCACACGGCAAGCTTGTTGGGCGTGATAATTAATGATCATGATGGGTTAGAAGTGGCGTTTATGGATGATGATCTATTGCTGTCTGCCTGTTCGTGATAGAGGCCGGTGCAACAAAAGACACCTGCTTGTCAAGAGTTTGTGCTAGTGCTTGCCGCCGAGCCCAGGCAGAAACCATGGAATTGACATGCTAAAACTGCCGTCCCAGAATGCTCAACGCCGGGAGTTAGAGCGGCAGTCCTTTCAAAGAGGTCAACGTAGTCCCTGTTCTCGAGGGTCTGACTGGATCAATTGGGATAGCTACCCAGGAAAGTATCCAGAAGCCAGGCTTCTGCCGGAGTGTTTTTCACACTCCTGTAGCCACTGGAAACAGTGGCCCAGCATGCACATGGCCTTCTGAGATGGCTCAGTGCAGGTGCAGTCATCGCAGGCAGTTGAAGTCATGCCGAATTAATTAATATAGGGGCCTTAATAATTAGAATCTCTGGTTTTGGGGCCCATTGTACTATAATTATAATACGGAACCCCCAATCGGATAATGAACTGCCTCTGCATCATCACCTCAGTCTTCAGTCAGCCTGCGCCACTATTGGCTAAACAAAATCCCAAAACCTACAAAGTCCGCACTATCCCTTCTTCATCGCAGTGGACTTTGCCTTGGCTTTCGCTTTCGCCTTCGACTTCATGGCGCCCTGCAGCACTCTCCTAATGTAGGGAACCTGATTAAGAAACCTTGGGCCCATAGCCCCCAAATAGTAGGATTCATATAAGCAACCTGATAAAAGCCCAAGGTTTCTTAATCAGGTTGCCACAAGATTCTGAGCTCCTGATGTTGTGATGTAGCCACATGGCTGAGGTTTCTGTGCTCTGCGATCGAGGCAGTTGAAGGGCTTATTGTGGACCGAGCCCTGTGTGATCTACCTGCTAACTGCTCGGCCACCGCACACTTGCCTCGCCAAGCTTCGCGTGAGCTGTAAACCCGTTTGCTAGACCATCATGGGCATGGCAAGCCTGGCTAGCACCCCAGCTGAACAAAAGCTGAGACTATCAAGACCCTTTTGAAGACAGCTCTCTGCTTCCTTCATGGGCATATCAAGCGGGGCCGGCATCTGAAGAATATCTAACTCGGGAGACCACGCAACTCAACTCAAGTGTGGCTCCCGCAAGTCGACCTCACCTTGCCCTTGAGGGCTTTGAAGGCCAAAACGCTGAACTTCGAGGTCTTTGCATACCTCGCAACATCTGAACCATCGACGTCTAAGTCACAGGCTCTCATCTTCTTGTGCATACAGCGCGACCCAGGAAGACAACCGCAACCAAGAGGAGCCAAAATAATCAACAGGTCAACCAGCACAATCGACCGCAACAACAAACAACCGACAGCTGACGATCCCCCAATCCAGAATCCACGACCCAGGCCGACGACAATGGCACCACTAACAACAACAGCAGTAGTAGTACTGCTGCTCCTGCTACTGCTACTTCTACGGCTACTGCTCTGCTGCACCTACTGCTCCTGCGACTCCTCCTCCTCCTCCTCCTACTACTACTACTACTACATCTACATCTACATCCACTTCCACTTCCTCTTTCACTTCTACTTCTACCTGTCTACCTCTACTACTACTACTACTGCTACTACTACTACTACTACTACTACTACTACTACTACTACTACTACTACTACTACTACTCCTGCTTCTGCCAGCTACAGCTACAGCTACCACTGCTACTAGCACCACTAGCACTTGGCTACTACAGTACTCCAGCTTTTGATACGAAAGGAAGTTGTCGCAATGCGCAGGATGCAAAAGCAGGTCAATCAAACCGAAGTAAGACGCGACGCTTGCTCCAAATGTTGGCCGGCAAGTCCTTCTTGGAGACGTGCTCCTGGACAACAGGCCATATTGAAACTCAGAAGTGGCATGCGGCTTCCCCTACTAAACTGCTCCTGCAGACTGCTCCATCCTCACACGCCTTGCAAGAAAAAACGCGAACCACATAAATCACATCGTGTTGGTCCCGAGCCGCTCAAGCCAATCCTTCGGTACAAATGGGAGTTTCCGAAAGTTAGGGGTACCTTATTTTGGGGTCCTTACAATACTATTTAGGGTACTATGTTAGGGTCCCCTATTGTCGGAAACCCCCAAATGTTTGGGGTAAGCTTGACTGTGAGACCGGTCTTCCGAACCCCTGCCTGTCAACCTTTCCTCCTCTTCGTGTGGGGATGCACGTGGGAGTTTCCGAAAAAAGGGGACTCTGATATAGTACCCTAGCTAGTACGATCCTGATTATAAGGACCCCTAAATAAGGACCCCGAATTGTCGGAAACTCCCACTTGGCACTGGTATTCATCGTGGTGGCAAACCAAATCTGATCCGATTTCATCTCTCAACCAAATTGCATTCTTCACAACATCACGAGACCCAACACAAGCACCTGAACTACACGTTAACCTCAAGGTTGGGATAGCCCATCAACCCTTCTTTGAGTAAGCTACAGCTACGAGTAATGAGGTAAGGATATCACGCCCAAGAGTTCATGTATGGGTGTGCTTTGCTTCCTGACTACAGTGTCTAAAACCAGGGGACCTCAACACAACAGCCAAACAATGTCCCGGGGCAATCATCAGAACTCACAGTTCCGGCAAAGCAAAAAAGGAGAGAGGTCCGTCTGCCGCTGGGACTTCTTCACTTCGTAAGCGCCGGTGTTGATCACCTGTCATCACCAGTTGGTGGAAGTTGCTTCCGGATGCCTTCTTTCGGGTCTAGCCTAGGCACTAAATGAAAGTCATGTAGTACAGATCCATAAACCTGACAAGCAGGATCAGTTTTATGCACACTGTCTGGCGCTAACATGACACTTTCGCACACACAATCACGCATATCTGCAGGCACTATCATGTGCAAGGGGTTTCGTGCCCTTGTCCCTGAAGCTTTATCCATGAACGCAGTTTACAGTATTTCCTTTGCACCACCTTTGGCAGTAGATCGCCCTAGGACTTCGGTTCTTCTGGGGCGGCAGACCTCGGTCTTGCGTTCTTGCATCGCCTTCTCCTGACATCTGACATCGCTTGAGGCCCTATAGGTATATACCCATAATATAGCCATTATATACCCATTATAGGGTAGGGGTCCCCAAAAAGGGTCCCTCGGCCAAGGACGCATGCCAAAACCCCCCCCAAGGTAGGTAAAATACTCGCCCAATACCTAAAGGCTATTATTCTACATACTTTAGGGGTCCAGGTGAGTTTCAGATTCTGTGGGTCCCGAGGGTATTGAGTTCTGAAAGGGCAGTGCGGATATGTAGGGTTCTTCAGGCCAAGCAACCGCCCAATCGCGTGTCGCATATTCCATGGGGAACTACCCAGAGACTCCAACGTTAAGGAATACTCCCTAAGTTATAGTAGAATCCCTCATATGATTTAAGGAATATTCCTTAGTTAAGCGATGTTGCAGTCTCTGGTTGGGAACCAGGATTCGGAGATCCAAAGAGCTCGAAGGTCTAGAGAACGTAAGCTCCTCGTAGGAAGCGGGAGACCTTAGGGGGGGGGGGTCTAGCAGCATGCTGCATCAGAGTTGAGGCTGATGTCTCGAGCCGATTGATCCTCAGATGTAGTATTGGGCAGAGATGTACAGGTACACTAACTGGGAGACATTCTTGCGTCTTGCGTATGATAGGATGATAGGGAGAAGTCGATGGATCATTGTGCTATCGATTCATCTCAGACGGGGCTAAGCAGAGGACGAACTCCCGCAAAGCAACACAGGCGAGGTGCAACTTGTGTCTTGCACATTTCGATCGTCTTCTTCATGGCAGCCTGAGACATCCAGATCAGTCCACTCTGACAACCACTGCACAAGCCCTGATGTGGGAACCCAGACCCTAGGTTGCAAGAGAGGGTACACGTTGCTCATGGCTTTCACGTGTAAAGGAGTCTCAGGAACAAATGCACCTTCTAGAGTCTAGAGGCGTCCCGACGGCAACCCGCAGACTGTCGTCGCTAGGACTTAAGCTTTGTTAATGCTACAGAGGCCCTCTTTGTTTACCATGGCTTGCTTTGTTTATCGCCTGCACACGCTATGGCTGCTATGGCTCTGCTTGCATCTGCTGTGTTAACTGAGCTTCTGGGCCTTGCTTGCAAGGACCCCCTTCGCTGTACAAGTTCAGTAGATTGGCGTTGAAACGCAAGCAACGAAGCTCAGGGGGCTTCATGGGTTTAGGATTTCGGCGCTCGCACTCGGACAATCCAGGGCGTATGGCTCGAGGTCTGCTGGGTGAGACTGCAACTAAGTGGTTTCAGCACTCACTCTCGGACAAACCACAGCGAGGAACTAAGTGGTTTAGGATTTGGGGTTTAGGGGTCCTCGTATGGTTTACAAGCCCCGGCATTGCGCATGCATGGCGGCTTTCTGCCTCTTCCCCCTTTGCCCAAGCCCACTTCTGCAGAACCAGGTCAAGTGCATCGTCCTGTGGACATGTTGCTTGCCAATATCGTGGATGCTGTTTTATACTGCCATGACTATGTTACACCATCTTCACCATCAACCTTACCATCAGCCGTTCCGGAGTTCTTGGATGCTGTCGTATTGTAGTATGTTTATGGGGGGACGCTGCACATGTCTAAACCACGAAGATATGATGATGATGATGATGATGATGACGATGAAGAAGATGATTCATTGCGCTGATGGCCAAAAATCCTGCTGCTGATGGAAGACAACGAACCAAATGATGGTGGGGGCGGGTATGGTGACGATGATGTCACTGGCATTGACGTCGCTGAGATGTCAGGAAGATCTAAAGAAGTGTGACGACAGCAGCTCAGAAACTGATGACGATCTGCCCGCGTAGCTTTAGCACCAACGGCCGAAAGCAAGCCGAACCCCGGAAACAAAGTACTGCCGCTCCGAAATTCCCATGGCGCCGAGGGATTGAACAGTCTTGCCCTGCTCTTGGTGGAGCTTCGAGCCCGGCAAAAATGCTGCAAAGCAAAACAAGCTTCCCTTGATGTGTTCTGTTCTGTTAAGTATAAGTTGTACTAACTGGTGTTTCCTTTAGACATGATGTGGCCATGTTAGGGCAGGTCAAGATCCGTGGATTCTTTGTCGGCGTCTGCAAATCCAACACTTACTTCACAGGTGCAGGGGTCCAATGTTACGGGGTGGAGCCTCCAGGGCATGAGGCAAAGAGTGGTTCCTTCCGGGTGTAAACACACCGGCAAGGCTCTGCCACAAACCTGCAGGTGATGCACGGGCCCGCATATTGTTTATGTGGCTGTGAAGTCGCGTCTTAAAGCCGAGACATCTTCCAAAGAATTCGACAGCAAAGAGCGTGCATGCTACCTACAATTCAAGACCCCGCGGTGTCAGAATGATGTGAGCCAATCTAGCGAGCCAACCTCAGTCTAACGCCCACAAGTAGAAAGCCAAGTGGTCGATCTGCAACTGTGGCATGATGCCAGCTGCTGGCGCATGGCTCCTAGTCTTTTGGACTGGGAGGAGGCAGTCTTGCGGAGCCCCGGGAAGAAAGCTGTCAGTCAACCTTCTTGCTGTAGGCAATAGTGCCACGCTTCCGTAAGCTCTTGTAGTAAGAGGGCAGCGAAAATGAATACTGTACATGCGACTCATAAGCAGAGTCTGCCATAAGTGAATCACAAGGATACACTAGCTCGCACGGAAGGTCGAAGCCCGCAGGAAGCACCCGATGACTTCATGTTGGGCAACATAGCTGAATGTTTCTGCAAAGGCTGTACAGGTTACAAACACTGACACTATACTGCGAAGGTTCTGCAAGGACACGTGAATCTCAAAGAAGCAGAAGTGAAAAGTTTTGGCAAGTTGCTCCGAACGTGTCTCAGGCCTGGAATCTCATTCCAGTGGTCGCCATGGCACTTCGAAAAGAAGCAAGTGTCTCGACACTGCAGTTGCATAGCCCCATAATCCCCCAAACCGAAGGCTTCGAATGCCCGGAGCAGTACGATGCACAGTGCGCGGAGGAACCAAATTCACCACACTCTCGATTCGTACTGTCGAGCTCCACAAATGTAACCAAATCGGAACATCCATACATGCTGCGGAGGCGTTGTAATGCGTTGTATAGATCAGATCCGCCCACCCCGAAACACCCAACAACTTACTTGTTCCAATTTCTGCTTTCCTGCGGGATGTAGGATCTCGTGTCCTCTCCCGATTGAGCTGCTCGCGTGCAAGGCATCTGCTTTCTCGTTCACTTTCCCTCAAGCTCCCTCTCGTCTCTGCCGTCTGCTTTGGTTGTCATTGTGGTGCCACCATTGAGAAAAAGATGTAGCAAGAAACTCTGAACATCTCTGAACTCACATTTCCAGGCCTCCACGTCTGTCATGGGTTCAAATGCGGTATATGTATGGACGAGCCATTGCAGGTACCAAGCACGCTTCCGAACTACATGCTGGTGCCGGCAGCCTCAGCAAATCCATGCATTGCAGGTCGGGCATGGTGGAATTGAGTGCGCGACAACGCCCATTGCTTAGTGTCACCGACTCGATGCGCAACGTCTTCGTTACAAAGACGCCAAAACGGCACGACAACAACATATTACTGGCATAACTGCCAACAACGGTATAAACAGCGCAACAAGGGGCCGAGAACTGCTGCTTGACAGTGATTTTCCATAGAACTAAGAGTAACAATAAAAAGGGTGCCCTTTTTGGTTTAAAGGGGATTTATAAGGACACCTAAAGCCTGAACAAGGGAATAAGGGCCTGTATTGCAGGAAATTGACGCTCCTCGAGCCCTTATTGCCAGTAGATCGGAACACCACGGAGTTGTTCTGTCGCCGCACTCAACTGCACCCTGCTCCGAGAAATCATTTACCGAATTCTGCCAGAATGGGACGGTTCGCACGAGAGTGCGGAGGCATAGTTTTGCACGTGATACCCGGAGTAGAGGACTTCTATATATATATATATATGTGTATATATAGATGTATATATATATGTGTGCGTGTGTGTGTGTGCGTACATGTAATGTTAATGTATATGTATTTATATATATATATATATATGTACCACATATATATATATATATACTTTTTTTAAATCTGATTATTTATTGATATCCATCTACTTAGTTTTATATACATATATAAATTGGACTCCGGACTCCCCCTGAGCTTCGACGCAGCGCTTGCAGTCGAGTCAGGACTTGCTGGAGGTGGAAGGCTTCGAAGATGCCCCGCTGCAGCACGAGGCCTTGGTCGCAGTGGTGGGTGTAATATGGGGGCCTTCATTTAGCTGTACTATTTTGCGGGGGTTCCTTTAAAGGGTTCGTTAAAGGGGTCTATAGTAGGGTGCTATGGTATAGGGGCCTCAATTTACCTATACTATTTTGGGGGGTTCCTTTAAAGGGTTCCTTAGAGGGGTCTATTGGGGATCTATAGTAGGGTGCATTGGTCGCAGTGGCGAGTGTAATATAGGGTTTTTTTCGATATACAAAGGGATCCCTTTATAGGGAGGGGTTTTATATTTACAATAGGATTCCTTTAAAGGGATCCCTTCAAAGGGATCTATAATAGGTTGCTATGATATACAGTAGGGGCCTTAGTTTACCTAGAGACATTTTTGGGGGGGTTCTTTAAAGGGTTCCTTAGAGGGGTCTATCAGGGGTCCATAGTAGGGATCTAATGTATAGGGGTCCTATTTCTTACCTTTACTATTTTGCGGGGTGTCTTTAAAGGGTGCCTTAAAGGGAGGGGTCTATCAGGGATCTATATTAGGGTTCTGTGGTATAGGGGCCTTAATACTTACATATGTAACATAGGGGCCTTTATATTTAAATAGGATTCCTTTAAAGGGATCTATAAGGGATCTAGAATAGGTAGCTATGATATACAGTATTAGAATAGGGTCTTGGGGCCCATTACACTATAATTATAATAAGGAACCCCCCAAATAGTATAGGTAATCATCACGGCCCCTATGTTTACAGCATCTTCGGTTCCACTTCCACGCTTCGTGCTACATCCATCTGCACAAGAGGGGAATGCCACAGTAGCAAGCGAGGATGGTTTTACCTGTCGGTATCCGAACGTTTGTACCCGGGCAGGCAAAGTGCAAACTACACAAATGGCACCCTCTAGGACACTCTAAGACTCACCCAAACCCTAAACGCAAAAATTAACCTTCCCCCAACTAAGGTGGGCCCTGTTTTCGGCAACCGAAGCCTTAATCACCGGCCAAATCATGAACCTTGGGGCTCTCAACACACCTCCGTAATAATTATATAAAAAACAATATATGAGATTAGTATATCAATGTAACATAGCATGCTTATACATAGAAAAAATATATCCGAACCCAAGCCAGGGCACCGCCGGAGTGGAGGTTCCGGTGGAGGGAGTTCGGGCAGGCAAGAGCAGCGTCAGCGTGGCCATGTTCCTGCGTTCCAGCTGTAAAGGCCGAAGCGAGAAGGCACATGCTTTCAGACCTGGATTGCTCATTCAGAAAGTTGAGGTGCGAACATACACTGCTCACTGCTACCAGCCTGTTCATTGCGCTTTCTTGCCGGGTTGCAACCTTGAAGATTTGTGTCTGGCCAGGGCACATGCAGGCAGCTAGATGAGGAAGTGCCCACAGTGATTTCAAGTTGGCTGGGGTGTGCAGTCTACAAACTTTGAAACCAAGATGACGCTGTAGTTGGTCCGACCCAGTACATATATGTGTATATATATATATATGTATATATATATATATATATATGTATATATATATATATGTGTGTGTATGTATGCCTGTATGTAAGTATGTATGTATGTATGCATGTGTGCTAACTATGTACATATATATATATATATATAATATGTATGTTCATATAACATAGCTGTATGTACATTTACGTAGAGGCATATTTCTGCATATGAGTGTGCACATGTATGTGTATCCATAATAGACATGTTCCTGTATCATATGCGCATATGTGTATATACGAACAGAACACGTAGTAAGTATGCCAGCATCGATCCCAAAGCGAGCACCACGACGCCTACGACTATGATCAATGCAAAAGGTTGTTCCCCTTGTTTGTCTAGAGGCACCAATGCCACAATGCCTCCCCCCATGTCTGGTGGGTTTCGAGCGTGTTCAGTTCAGATCGGTAAATTAAAGTGCTTCCCCCCATGTACTATACTAGCGGTGTCCAGAGACTTCACGAGAACGGAGCAAGTATCCAGGTTTATAAAGAAGGCATGTATTCATTTAGTTTTAAGTAGCCGGCCTCGATCTCGATGCTTTGCCGTGAGGGCCGGGCTCGTGCCTGCCACGCAAGTTCTCTACCGCCTCGAAACCTTGAAACTGGGTTTGGGGGTTAGGGTTTAGGGTTGAGGGATTAGGGTTTAGGATGAGGCCATCCCGTGAGCTCCATCAATGAAAACATCACGGCAGTCTAACAACAGAAAGAAGCCGCGAGCAGGATATGAACAGCACCAAAAAGCGCTGAGGCTCACTGTCGCCACTTGCAGAACCGCTGATGCCGTCGCAGACGTTACAGTGCTTGCATGCGGAGACAGGAATCGACGCTGTTTTCCCGGCGGCCATCGAGAAAAGCTTGACCAACCAAAACCTGCACCCTATAAACAGTAAAGCGCACAAATATCGATCTTTACTATTTTCACCATTATTGCTGTGATTATTACTCTTGCTAGTGAACGCTTTCTATTGCTATCGTTGTTATCATTATCTCTCACGGAAGGACGATGGACTTTTTCGGGGCGCTCCCGGCTTGCCGAAGGTTTAACCTTCGTGCAGGAGGCCTATAGTCGGCGGTACCTTCCCGTGCCTTCACTGAAATGCTCTGGTCCTACAGGCATTTGAGAATGCAGCTCTAGGGTTCGGTGCTGTTGCAAGGTCAGGTGGGTGACAGTGTAATGGACTTCGTCATACTTCGTCTATATGGGTCTGTGTCGACGGCATGCAGGGAACACAAGGCGTGATCTCGCGACGGCTCAGCTTTTCAAGTGGGCCGTTTGCCCCTTCTTCTTCCTCGGAGGCACAGGCCCGAAGTGAAAGCATTGGCAATCTTATCCGACCCATCACGCACACTTGCGCCGAAAGCATCAACTCGCCTGCTCAATAGCCATCCGAGCACCTGCAATTGAATCGGTTCGGGCAGAGTGGCAGCTGCGTCTTGTGCACTTGGATCGCCCTTCTTTGCTCCTTTCGGCGCCGCTTCTTCGATTTCTCCTGAGCCGGGAGCCGGTTGCGGTTGCGAAGGCAAAAGTAACCTTAATAATAACCAATTCTATTTGGGGGTTCCTTGTTGTAACATACCCCCATACCCTATTCTAAATATCAAGGCCCCTATATTATGCTTAACTTCTGTCAAACACGGGTGGAACTTTTAGATACGTAGATGCAGGCACCTGAACCAACGAAATCAGAAGCATGCGGGGTGCCGCAGCATTGACTTAGCTTCAACCACCACCCGACACAGACCCTCCAATGCCTGAAGCAAGAAAACTTCGAGCCCAACAAAAACTATCGTCGGATGCCGTATCTTCTCCTCCCTGGCACCTGCTCGCTTACATCCCTGGGAGAATAACCGAAACTTGAACACACGCTCTGGACACACCGTCCAAACATGTACAGCTATATATATATATATATATACATGTCTACAAATATGTATGATGCGACTAATCATCCCATTCAACCCACTACCTCTGTTGCTTACAGAATGGACCCAAGTCAGCCAATGTTAAGACAACTAGCTAACTAGCCTAAAGCCTGTTCCCAAAAGCCTCCAGCCCTCCCCTGTCGGCAATGAAGGGGCCTGAATAATCAGAATAGGGCTTGGGGGCATGTTGTACTTTCATTGTGATGAGGAGCCCCCAAAACCCTAGTCATTTATTGAGGCCCCTACAGTAACATGTCGTCGAAACCCCTGAGGTTTGCGGCTCACACTCGGAAACTCCAGAGGAGTCATGTTCGATTCAAGCTTTATGGCTCGGGCATCCTCAGGAGTTCTAAACGCAAGCGCGCAGAGTTTAGTGGTTTAGTCTCTCGAGGCTCACTCGAGGGTACTTCTGTAAGCCACAAAGTTTTAGAACGCCACATAGGGTCTTGCAGGGCTTCATAAGGGTCTACGAGCCAAAGGCGCGACGTCCACCTTCATCTGCGTGTCTTCCTCGGGCGTCGCCTTTGGTGAGACGGCCTCGAAAGGGCACACCGAACTCGTTTGGGAGGATTCAGGGTTTCGGAGCTCGCGCTCGGACATGCCAGGCCAGGTTTTTGCTGCGAAGTCAGTTGTAGGTGAAACCTCTGCTTTGAGGTGGAAGGTTCAGCGGTTAGGGTGGGCTCTCCCTACTTCTAGTCTTGCTTTGCCTTTTACTCCTGGTCTGAGTCATTGAGTTGAGTTGAATTCCAAAGCCATAACTATCACTGACTGCATGACTGCGCGACTGACTTGACTGAGTGCAAGAAAAAAAGCAACTAAACAAACTACAGAAATCCATAAACAACTACAACAGTGCAACAGAAAAGTAAACTTATGTATTCATGTATGTGTATAGGCCGCCCCCCCCCCCCACCCCCCCCACCCCCTGAGGCCCAAAACCTCAAAGCTTTCAATTTCGGCATTGAAACCCGCCGGCCGCCGGAAGCAAAGGGCTCAAGAAGGCCCAAACATGCCCAAACCGTGGTCAGGACTCATGTCTACTATAGCGGCCTCAATAAATTCCTTCTACTATGTTGGGGGTTCCTTATACTCATAATTATAAAAAATGCGCCCAAAAACCCGATTCTAACTATTAACACGGGCTTTTCACTGGTTCTGAACAAGTATAAAGTTCTTGGGGTTGGATCTTTGGGCTATATGCCTGCAGCTTGCAGGCAAAATGTCCAGGTCGCCTGCTCAAAAGCGCGAAGACTCGATCCGAGAGACTGACATGGGTGGTTGTCAAAACTAGGGTCCCTTTTTGGGTCCTTATTATAATACGGCACCTAATATTTAGGCTACCCAAAAAGGGACCATAATTTTGACAACCACCCTGACGGAAAGCGTCACGAAACGGGGAGGCTCAGGCATCCGTAGCTCCTGAAGAACCATCCATGAAACTCCGGATGCAAGCTCGAAGTTGAAAGGTCTGAAACAAACCTGGCGAGGTCGAGGTAAAAGAATGCATCATTTTCGACTGAATCAGCCTTGAGCCTAGAGTTCAAGCCTTCATACCCGAAAGACTGCAAAGCGCTACTGGCCTTCAAGGTGGGTGATGGTGCCGGCATGGCCTTCGGCGATGTCTTGCCGACTTTGCCGAGACTCAGGGCTTGCTTCCTGGAGCTGAGACTGGCGGAGTTCGAGGTTCGGCGACTTACTTGGAGGGTCGGGGGACTTAGTAAGTAGGTAATAAGTAGACTTATAAGTACCCTAACAGGGATCCTCATTGGGGTTATGATACTTAGAAATCTATAAAATGACTACTTACTAAGTCCCCCGACCCTCCAAGTAGGGTTTCGACACGCGCAGTCGCAAAGCAGGCGCGGATTTCGGGCCGATGAGGTGATTCAGTATTTAGGGTTTAGGGCGAACAGTATTTAGGGTTTGCTCTGAACAAATTGGTTAGGAGATTCACAGGTATAGATTTCGAGGCCCGGATTAGGTGAACGCTTGCTTTCAAATTTGGGCCTGCCGCACTCACCTCGACAGTGACACACAACAGGCAACAGGCATCATAACATCATAGTTCATTTGCCGAAGAAGCCGACAAAGTGAACAGTCAGTCCACACACATGGACCGGTGCTATTGCACATTTTGTTGAGTTTTTCCGATTCTCTGCGGTACGCACGTTACAGACATTACGTGTCAGCACATATGTAGAACGCAAGAGAAGGAAGCGTCTCTCTACCTCACAACATGCCGCGTTACTGACAACGATCTCTGGGACAAGCAAACACTCCAACAGGCACAGGTGACCTCGATGAGCCTGTGCCAGCAGATTCCCCCAAGGTATCGTCCGCACCAAAGTTAGAGGGTGGGAAGTTGGAAGCAACAGAAAGCAAACAACTGGAAGCAACAGGGCTGAAAGAGACGATTAGATTATCAGCCGTTCGTCATGATGAACAAACTACTTTCCTTTCCACCGGCCCTCTCCTGTTAAACCACTTTCTCAACTCGATGGACGCAGAAACTCTCCCCAGGCCTCTTCTCACGCTTTTGAGACTTTGTAAGCTTTGGCGCTTTTGGCTCCTCGGCAAAAGATTGAGTGTAAAGTGTGCATGAAGCCTGCAATACCTCTTCGTAGCAACCCCATGGGGAAAGCAAGAGCAGTTATCCTACACCCACAAATTTAAGGATCCGGGGTTGATTCATGAGCACAGCTTTTTGTCCTTTGATTGGGTGCGCCCCTACAGCATGCAGCCCGATACATATCCCCCTAAACCCTAAACCGCCAAAGCACGGATATCTCCATGCTCTGTGGCTTGTTGGAAGCTTTGTTCTTCTTCGGCTTTTCCTTGGCCCGGCGGCGCGAAAAAAACTTCAACACGCCAAGCAAGGAACACATGACAGGTCTTCTTATCCGAACGTATACATATAACACATACACATACATACATGAGATGTCCGGACGAATCTCTACTTTGGCCTCCCTCCTTCCACCTCCCTGCCTCGTGCCAAACTCCGAACTTTTCAACAGGTCTCCTCCGTGGACATTGCATTGTACTTCGGAAGGTTGTTGATGACCTTCTTGACTGTACCCTTGTACCTTGGCTGTTTCATTGCCGAGAAGTGCATCGCCGCATCTACCGGCAGCCATACCCCTGGGGCTCCAAATAGCCCAAAGTAGGTATTATTTATAGACTTTAGGCCCCAAAGTAGGTACTATTTGTATACTTGGAGCCCCAGGGTACTGGCTGGCTTATCAACTGATCTATCAACAGGGTGGTCGTGTCTAGCAATGCTCAAACACGGCCCCGCTGCTTTGGACCATTGAACTTCCGGGCGCCTTTACACTTCCCGTTCTTCACATGGCGCTTCACCATGACTTCCGAAAACGTAGAAGCACAGGGAAAGCCGTCCCCAGCTAAGTTCAAGACCCCCTAGCTCCCTGAAGTGCTTCGTGGGGATAACTGCCACAGCTCAGAGGTTGAGATGTCGTTGAACTTTCGAAGATGACATGGGCGTTTCTGTCTTGAGCCGAGCTGCCGGAGGTCATCGACACGAATGTCCCCTAAACCTATCAACCCTGAAACATGCGGCTTCAAGTTGTGCTTCCAGCATCAGCAACTCCTCTTTTAGCTCCCAAGCTCCAACGCGAAGGCAACTTCAAGCCCTACAACATGCGCCCCAGCTCCCAACCCGGAACGAACGAGCATGGCAGGCGCAAGGGTTGGATCCCTGAGCTGAGAAGCCTATCGATCCACAATCCTGAAGGCTGCAAAGCTCCCCGGACCTTTCGCACCTTAAAATCTCCATGCAGCCCTTAACCCTAAACCCTATATGCAGAACCGTTAAGAAAGGCCCGGTGGAGACCGTGCCTCGACACAAAAGGGACCTGCTGTGGCCGCCGCGTCTCTGTGGCCGTGGTCTGCCAAGCAAAGGGTGGTTTCCAAGGTGAACGCAGGGGCCTTAACAAATACAAAAGTCTTTTGGGGTGCATCGTAGTATTAGTATAGTGACCACGGTGGGATGCGATTAAATCACTACACTGTTCAGCCCGCCAAGTTTGGATTTTCCAGTGTTTTCCATGCTACAAGTTTAGGTTGTAGGGCTTCACGCTGTTGCGGCTTTATTACGGCTTTGACACATTACAGGCTTTACGGGTGTTTTCTTGGCCTCCTGCATTGCTGAACTGGTCGATTTGGGAGTTTCCGAAAATAGGGGATCCTAATTTAGTACCCTAATTAGTAGGATCCTTATTATAAGGACCCCAAAAGAAGGTACCCCTATTTTCGGAAACTCCCACATGTCACTTTCACCGAAGCTCAGAAGCACGCCCTAAATACTGAGGCCCTGTCAACTCATTCTGACGCAGAATGAACAATTATACCCTAGCCTGATGGGACATGGAGACCACAGAAGCAGTATGCTCCGCATGACTGCAAATCAACTCCGTACTGCAGCCTCTGCTGGAAACAGCACGTCGCAGGAGCTGTAGCAGCCCTTCCGATACCTCTCAGCCTTAAAGCGGCCCAAATATTAGCCCTTATAGCACCCTAACCTCAGCTTTTATGTTGCGATAGGGGCCTGAATAATTACCAATACCATTTTAGTGGGCTCCTTATTAGAAGTACAAGTATCACGGGGCCCCCAAAACCCTTCTCTGATTGTGAAGGCCACTACATTATAGAACCCTATTATAGGAACCCTATTCTGACTATAAAGGCCACTTTTTTAGCCCTCCTGTTCCTAGTATGCCCAGTAACCTAGGAGTAAAAAGGGCTGCCTTTTTGATGTTGGGTAACTTTATAAGGAACCTAGGACTACAAAAAGAGAATAAGGGTACTACTGGGCATCCTAGTATGTAAGGTAATTCCCTTATAGGATTCTCAATATGAACCCCAACAAGGAACTACCCCTAAGGGTCCATGTACTCATATAGAGATACATGGGCGCCAATGTACCTATATAGGGACTACATTAAGGCCAATGTATATACTATATGAGCACATGGACCCTTAGCGTACTATGGAGCCTATCGTAATTATAAAGGCCCCTTTTTCAGCCCTCCGGTTCTTTCGAAGTCGCCGAGATGTCCGGCCTTTCGGGTCGAGTATCGGATCTGCGGCTCGCTGGTGGCCCTCCAGAGGCGCTCCTGAAAAGCTTCAGCACTTCTGGCTCTGGGGGTTCTATGGTTTAGGCGTTGTTTTTTTTGTCGCTCCTTTTCTCCAGCAACTACGAAGGTCACATGGTTTAGGGTTTAGGGTTTACGCTCTCACAACTCAGGGTTTGAGGGTTTTAGGGTTTAGGGGTTTTACTGGTTTGGGGTCTAGGCTTTGTAAGGGTTTGGGGTTTAAATGGGGTAGTTAGTGGCAGAAGTGTTCAGGGTTCCATTGGGTTTCGGACTTCTAGCAGGCCGAGGCCAAGGCGGGATCTTCGCAGCCCCAAAGGGTCCTATCCCAAAGGGTCCAAGAATCCTGATGGTATATACTTAGACCCCCAAAATACCCCTATAAGTATATACCATAATGATACTTGCACCCTTTTGGTATGGTATCGGGTCCCATATGCACCTCTGATCCTCCAGCTGCTCAGCTTGATGAATGGCAACACTGGGTAACAACTGTTAAGAGTTGCAGCAGTACAAGCACACAAACAATCGCGGAAACCTCAAGCCTAATTCTAAAGTTTCGTTTTCTGTTGGTGGTTGTGTTCCAAGGTGACTCGATGTGGCTAAAGCACGTGTAGTGATCTACTGTAGTGCTCTCGTATGGGCTATTGGCGACCTCCTACAGGCATGATTGGAGCTGCCTCCGCCGCTTATCTTCCTGACACCAGCCGGGCTGGCCGATCCCCGAGTGCGGGCCAATGGCATGATGCGAGACGAATTTGCGAATCTCGCAGTGGCCCGACATCATCACCGCCAGCACATGCTGAGACATCGACATGCAGTGACCGCACCACCAACTCATCAGGTCCCCGTGCTTATTTTGAAGGACATACTGCACAAGAGTCCAGAACTGAAGAATTCCGCTGCAAAAAACAATAAACAAGGGAAGCAGTGTTGATGCTGATGTTGAGATGGCAGGGACAGCAATCGTACTTCGACGGCCCAACGGCCCAACCTGATTATAAGAGGGAGCTTCAATTCCAGGATATCGTGATTTCTCCTTCTGGCGCTCCAGCTGATGCTGCAGGTCTTCGATGGTCTTGGCCTGGTCCTGGATCTGCTGCTTTTGCCTCATGGAGGACGCTTAAGACAACAGAAGTTCAGGGGCGCAGGGCCGGAATTCCAGCCTGTGGACAAACCCAAACCCCGCCTGAGCGCCTCCGCCGCACTGGCCTCGCGCGAGGCCAGAAGTGAGAGGCGCCGCCTGGATCTTTCGCGTTGGCTCAGAAGGGTTGCTCCTCAGTTTAGGGTTTAGGGTTTAGAGGCCTCATTCCCCCATGCGTGAAAAAAAGGCTTGGAGGATTCAGATGTGTGGCTGGAGCTGAAGGTGCGCGATTTGTGTTAGATTAGATTCGCATTCGTCAGCCTTGGATCCAACTGTAGGGAAGCTGAGAGGGGTATCGACAGGAATACCAGCTCGGAATACGCCAGTCGACTAGATCCATCACTTTAATGAGCATTAATGTCCACAGTAGTTGCAAAAGAAAGTTGGAAGCCCCACAAAAAAGAACGACAGCATCTTGACAGTAATTATGCACGGAAAAATGCATGGAAAAGGGCAAAGCAAAAGTGACACGAGTGGAGCAGCAAACTAGGATCCCCTCATGACCAGACCAACAAATGGAAAACAAACCCAAGGTATGGTCCAAGGTTCTCGAGCTCTACCTCAGCGCGTCGATTGCAGTCAGCCAGATGGCTATTCACGCGATCTTCCTGGGTTTGAAGGGGGAGGTGGCTGTGTTCCCTGATTCAAAGCATCGGGCTCTGTCTGCCGGCGACAACCAAGAAAGATGCTGGTTCAGGAGGCTCAAGAGGCTCTGGATGCTAAAAAATATCACATTCAGGTCCAAAAGTGGTTGGTTGCGGGCTTCGCCTTCGTGGAATCGGCGGACTGACTGCAGAATGACGCCGTGGGAGATGCAAACAGGGAAAAGGTATTCGTAGTAGGCAGTGAAGATCATTGCTCTCAGAATCATGAGCTCTTTCTTTGCTAGCCATGATATGACAGAGCCCTCGAGACTGGTAGGGCGCTACCGATCATTTCTTTCTTTTCTTGCTACGGTGCTACCATCATAAGCAAGAAGCCAGCACCATTGGCACTACCATTCATACTGTCATTCAGTAAACTGGCGGTGTCACGAGATGTAGCTTCAACACCCTTAGCCTAGTTCGGTTTCGTGATCTGCAAGATGCTCTAAACCCTAAACCCTAAACCCTCTTTCAGCGCCAGCTCAACTAAACAAAACATGCTAAGCCCCAGAGTCTCGAAAACGCTGTCGGCAGAGCCCGGGGGCCTCCTTCCCCTAAGGCTCCATGTACCCATATAGTATATCATGTACTTAGGCCTTAAAGTACGTGTATAGGGACCCCTTGAAGGCTTAAGTATCTACTATAAAAGTACATGGAGCCTTTGGGTTCAGAACCCGTAGCTCAAAGCACACGCCAACACCCTCTGCTCCCAGCGAGATGTATGATGTTAGTGCCGGCTGGAGAGTCTCTAGGGTCGGTTTAGGGTTTAGGGTAGTGCGGACCATAAGTAAAGTCAATATTTGTTGAAGGCGAAGGCATTCTTTCATTTCAGGCGAGAAACACTTTGTCAAAAGACCCGCTCGCCCCATTCCCTCAAACCTGTACAGATGTTACTAGGATTCTAGCAAGACCAAACTCAATAAATTGGGATTTGTGTTGTTGCACCCCTGGCTGTTGAAACTTGAAGCACAGGTCGCTGAATTCCAGTTTCACAGAACCTGAACCCACCCTTGTCTGCCCCAGCATCTGCGAACCTTGCCAAACACAGATGGACCATGTCCCATATCCGAAATGACTGTAGCTCCGCAACAAGCGAACCATGGCAAACATCAAAACCTAACCTGTCATTAACATGTAAAGTTTTAACGAAACCTTGCTAAACCAATCAAAGCCCCTATAACCCTATAGAAAACCCCGAAGAACCACAGAAACCAATTATGCAACGACAGATGGCCCTTATGAAACCCTGATTCTATCCTTGGGTTTTACATGAACAAAAATTAAATCAGAGACGCTCGAAGCTGGAGGCGGGCCCGGAGCTCCGACTTCTCCCGCTCCACTTCTTGCCTGGCTCTCAGGCTCATAAAATTCCTAAATCCTAAATCCTAAACCTTAACCCTAAGCTCCTTGCGTTATCGTGTTTGGGGCTTGTTTTAGGGCTTGATAGGGTTTGTGGCAGCTTTT